ATACCTTGGCAATGTCAGGGTGATCTCTCAGCTCAAGATCCTTAATTTAATCATCACTGTAATTACCGTATAAGGGGCACTCATAGATGCTGCTGTGAAAGGGTGTTTTGCATGCATGTGTGTCTGTGCACCCTGGAGACAATGCTCACGGAGGTCAGAAGAAGACGCTGAATGCCCTGGATCTGGAGTTACATATACTTGTGAGCTGCCATGTAGGTTCTGGGAATTGAGCCTCCATCATCTGGAAGGGCAGCCAGTGCTTCTAACTGCTGAGCCATGTCTCTAGTGTCTATCCATTCAACCTAGATGTAGAAAGAAATATTTTAAAGCTCCTGTGCTAGGGTGGGGTGGTGAGTGGCCGTACCCTGCTGCTCATCAGCAAATTCTACTTAGTAGCTGTGTATTTACATTCTCTATTTTGAAGTGTTCAAGGCACTGTATTCACATAAACTGTATTCTCAAAAAAAGAAAGAAAGAAAGAAAGAGAAAGAAAGAAAGAAAGGAAGGAAGGAAGGAAGGAAGGAAGGAAGGAAGGAAGGAAGGAAGGAAGGAAGGAAGGAAGAAAGAAAGAAAGAAAGAAGTGTCCAGATCTCCCGGCCACCAGGTTCTGATAAGTCACAGCCATTATCTTTGTTATTTTGTTTCTGGTAGTTATCACAGCCACCCAAGTCAAGACTCTCCAAGCCTCACTTCTTTTATTTTTTTGGAGCTTGATGCTTTACAAGAATGAGAGAGAGTAACACAGTCATCTTCACCTGGTTCTAAAATGTGTTTGGATTTAGATTTGAGTATGGGGGGTGTGCCTTGTGTTCTGAGGCCTCTTCAGCAGCAAAACCTTGAAACAGACACTTCAAGAACACTGGACATCTAAACGTCTTCCTTTTTCCCTCTCTTTCTCCTCCCTCCCTTCCCCTCTCCCTTCCTCTTTTCCTTCTTTCCTTTCCATCCCTCCTTCCTTTTTTTCTTCCTTTCTTCCTTCCCTTCCTCCCTTCCTTTTTCTTTTGTCTTTTGAGTCAGAAAACTCATGTACCCAGTCTATCTTCAAACTCAAGTAAGGACTCAACAGTAGCCTGGAGTCATCTGATTCTTCTGTCTCTGAGGTTACAGGAATGTAGAGGAATTTTAATCCAGCAACATGGCTGCTTTGGCAAGGGATCATATCCAAAGACCTTTCAGGTCTATGTGATCCAGCTGGAATGCAGACACATCCTGGATTACAGACATACCCTTAGTACACACTTTTAATCCCCAACAATGAAGGCAAGGTTAGTTTATAGAAGGAAGCTGGCATATTTGAAAGTGACATCTAATTGAGGGGCAGACAAAGTGATGAATCAAAGAAAGATTTGACAGAATGATTCAGAGGTAGGATACACCCAACCCTCAGGAGAACAGGAAAGAGAGGCTCCTTAAGAGCAGCAGCCGGGGGTGAGAAGAGTGGAGTGGTGGGCAATGAGCAGTATGTGTAGCAGTTTTGCTGGGACAGTTTTACAGAGACAGGTTGCAGAAAGAACGAGCCAGAGAGTGAGAAGGAGCCAGGTTAGAACATATTGCCGGAGTTAGGATGAGGTCAAGCAGAGCAATTCAGTCAGAGGGCAAGAGAGAAGCCAGATTGAATCAGTCAGCTAGGAGAGGAGTTTGAGCTAGAACAGCTGAGTTTCACCAGTGAGAGTTCAGGAAGAGCTAGAAAGTGTGAGTTTATTCAGCAGTAAGTCTTAGAGGCTGAAAACATTATAGGCCTAGGTTAGCAGATGGGGACTGGACAATTGTAGAAGCTTCCAGGCCTAGGTCTAGGGATAGTTAGAATAGAGAAAGAAAAGCTCTGGGCTCTGCCCAAGCCATGTATTCACACAGTTTGGGTACGGATCTCATCGTATCTCATCATCTGAGGAAATAAAAACAACAATTACATCGGGCGAATAAAAGTTACTTTGACAAAGGTGTGTGACATCACCTAACCTGTCTAGGTTATTAACTCTTGCAGGGCTTTTTTTTAGGGCTCCCCCACCCCCGCCTTCAATAGAATGATTAGTCTTTTTCTTATTTAGGATTTTGGGTTAAAAGGGATATTTTATGTGGATAATTTGAGTGAAATCACTTCTGTGTAAGGTTGAATAAAGCCAGGGACAGTAAGAATTTTCAAGACAAAGCAGAAGCTGGGAAGAGAAACTGGTTCTTGGTCTGACTGAGTGCTGGTTCCGAATGGTGAGCTTCTGGTCTGTTTGTGTGCCGGGTCTGAGCAGTGAGGTTCCGTAGTTGTTCCCATATCTGACCTGCAGATGTGGCGTATGGCTGGCTTCCTTGTCAGGGAGGTGGCTCTCCTAATAAAACATTTATAACACTTCAACATCCAAGAGGAAAACTTGTAGCAAGAACTCACTGCAGCCCAGAATTCAAGTTTAAAAAGCACAGCTGACTTCTCTAGGAAAAACAAAACCAACTTTGTGCTCCTTCAGTCATGGAAACCACATTGGCACCTCATTAGCGCCTTGTTAGAAAGGACAGTCTGTGCAGTGGACCAGCCTGGGGGAAGGGCAGGCCGGCCTGCCGTGTTAGGCAGGTCTGGGGAAGCTGAACCAGCCTTCTAAAGCTCTGCTACCTAACAGCACATAAGTCATAACCATTCATTAGATGGGACCATTCCCTTTTTCAGTTACTCTTGACTGCCCCTCCCCACTTTGTCGCTGCCATGATTGGTGCTATGCCACACAAGGGCTCATGAAGCTCGGATGCCACCAGCAGGACTCCCCAGAGGGCAAATGGTCCCTTCTTTCCTCCTGTGTCTTACAATGCAGTGAGCCTCAGAGTGCAGCATGCCTGCTAACTGGACATCTCTTTCCTCAAGCAAAGGGGGAAGAACAAAGTCATTTTTATCTGGCTTGACAGTGTGTTTTATTTTTGTACTTAGTGTGGGTGCACCTCATGGTCTGCGCTCTTTCTCCAAACGAAACAAGCAGACAGCCCAGGAGGAAGTATGCACAGAGAGGCTGAGAGGCTCCCACTGTAATTGCTGGGGTGGGGTTCGAGTCTCACAGGTTCACTTATCTTTCCTCAATGACTGTGAGTGTCCAGAGCTCTAGGTTCTTGCCTTACAAAATTGTAATGAAAATGGCCTATCCTGTGTGACCCTTGACTGTGTGACCCTTGAGGAACTAACAAGCTTACACTGATCCCAGGAGTAAAAGCTAGTAGACACTATCTCCTCGATACCTCCTCCAAGACAAACCCAAGCAAAAGCACCCTCTCCTCAAAGAAGCCCCCAATAAGGAGGTGTGTTGCATCACAACCTTGTTTGTCTCTCTTTTGCTTCTCTCCCCAACCCACCCCAGGCTCTCTGCCTCCATTTACCTCTGCCTCTCCCCGCCTCCCTCCCTCCCTGCTTCATCGTCTTTGAGCTTTTACTGCACAGTGCCCATGACAGTGTGGACTGATGTGTCCCAGCTGTGCATTCCCATTGTAAACAGATTGTTCAGCCCGGTGGGTCCATCAATACAGCCTACAGATGTCACAGCCTCGTTCAGATGCCCCAAAATTCCATTTCACCAGCATCCCAAACACATTTCTTAGTTGCACTCACTTCCCAGAAGGGAAACAGAAAATACCGTTTATCTAGAAGCCTCGATTGTGGAAACCACACACAGCAGATTCTATGGGAAAGTGTGTGTCATTTAGAGACAATCCATTCTCGCTTTGCTCAGAAACACAATAGCCAAGTGACAGAGGTTGCAAGACAGGCATGTGGCAACTCCTCCCATTTCTCATAAGACCCTATGGAAACTAACCCACACTTACTACTTCAAATTTAGTTTTTCATTTATAAGATTTTTGGTTGTTGTGTATACTATTCATGCATAGAAGCTGTCTTATTATTTTTGGATATGAAATGTGGACTAGGATGAAAATATGTCATAAATATACACACAGTTTGTTCTGTGCATACTCTTCAAGCCAAGAAGCATGTGAGATTTCTCATGTTATTAAAGGGATGGCATGGGGACCAAACATCCTGGGATATCATCTTATGTATGGTACAGGGCACAATCTCTACCGATATTTTATTATTATGTTTTTTGTTAATTCTTCTTAGGCAGGCATATGCACGTGTCATAGTATGCATGTGGAGGTCAGAGGATGACTTGTGAGAGCCAGTTCTCTCCTTCCGCCGCCAGGGAGCTGGACTCAAACTCAGGTTGTCAGGCTCCGAGGCAGATCCCTCTACCTAAGGCTCTGGGCACAACTTTTCAGCGTATTAAATGTCACAACACTAATGCATACATTTAAACAATAAAGGGAAAATAGTTACCTATGTTTTGTTCTATAGATATGATTTACTCAGCTCAAGATCTGTCTCCCTATTACTGGATTTTATAGCTTTCAGCTGTTAAATAATGTCTTAAGAACATTTTCACCTATCAAGTTTTGCCCAGGGTATATTTGCACAGCTGAATTATTGAGTCAAAGACTTTGACAATAATGACCATGTATTCCAAACCACCTTTATCAAAGATGTGTGAGTAGAAACTATAATTCACTTTCCGTCATGCTCTTTGTTTTTCTCTTCTGAAACAGGATCTCACTATATAGTCCGACCGGCCTGGAGCTTGCTATATAAATCAGATTTGCCTCAACTTTGAGGCATCCTTCAACTCCGGTATCCCACAGATTTGAGTCACCACACCTGGCTGACATTATGTTTTGTTTTTTTCTACCTTATCCCCCCATCATGGAATCTGTGTTTTTTATTTAAGAGGTTTTGCTAGTCAAAGTTTTTGTTTTTTGTTTTTTTTCTGTACTGGTTGCTTCTAATTATCAGGGAGATTGAACTTCTGCCACATGGCCTTTTCTCTCAGACATGTGCTAGTGTGTGAGCATTTGTCTGTAGGACCTACCTATGAAGCAGGGTCTTGTCTGCATGGGGAAAGGGGCCCCTGCTGTGCAGTGCAGCCCCTTGCCAGTCACTGAAACCCAGCAATGCATGTGGACCTCTTGTCTCCCTGCAGTGCTGCCAAGCTCCTGGACAAGAGCGCCTTCTCAGTCAGTAACCAGAACCCTCTGCTCCCTTCACCAGCCAGCCTCCAGCTGGCCCAGCTGCAGGCTCAGCTCACCCTCCATCGGCTGAAGCTGGCACAGACGGCGGTCACCAACAACACTGCAGCTGCCACAGTTCTGAACCAGGTCCTCTCCAAAGTGGCCATGTCCCAGCCGCTCTTCAACCAGCTGAGGCATCCGTCTGTGCTCAGCACCCCACATGGCCCTGCTGGGGTTTCCCAACACGCTGCCACCATGCCCAGTGCTCCATTTCCCTCAAATGCAATTGCCTTTTCACCTCCCAGCCAGACGCGAGGCCCGGGACCGTCTGTGAGCCTGCCCAGCCAGCCCCCCAGGGCTGTGGTAGTACACCCCTTCAGTGGGGTGATGTCTCAGGCCCCTGCCCAGCCAGCAGTCATCCTGGGCATTGGGAAGGCTGGGCCTACACCAGCTACTGCGGGGTTCTATGAGTACGGCAAAGCCAACCCTGGCCAGGCCTATGGCTCTGAAACGGAGGGCCAACCAGGCTTCTTGCCAGCCGCAGCCTCGGCTGCAGCATCGGGCAGCGTGACCTATGAAGGGCACTATGGCCACACAGGACAGGATGGCCAAGCCGCCTTTTCTAAAGACTTCTATGGACCCAATGCCCAGGGGTCACATGTGGTAGCTGGGTTTCCAGCTGACCAGGCTGGGGGCATGAAAGGGGAGGTTGGTGGGCTGCTGCAAAGTACCAACAGCCAATGGGAGAGCCCCCCTGCATTCTCTGGCCAAAGCAAGCCCGATATTACAGCAGCACCCAATTTGTGGGCTCCACCCGCTGGCCAGCCCTATGAGCTATATGACCCTGAGGAGCCTACCTCAGACAGGACCCCTCCTGCCTTTGGAGTTCGGCTTAACAACAGCACGCAGGGGTTCAACTGCTCTCGGCGGCGGGCCAAGGAGGACCAGGCCGGGCTGCCCATGAGGCCCCTGCAGGCTCATGAGCTGAATGACTTCCACGGTGTGGCCCCACTCCACCTGCCACACGTCTGTAGCATCTGTGACAAGAAAGTGTTTGACTTGAAGGTGAGTTCCCCAGGAAAGGCTGGGACGCAAGTATGGACTCTAGCTGCTTCTAAGACAGAGGTTCATCCAGGGACTGGGCTAAAGAACTTGTTGTCAGGGCCCTTTATGGAAATCATAGGCTGTAGAACCCAAAGGAATTTCAGAATTATATCAGGGTCCTTTCCCTGCTTTAAGGCAGGTAGGGCATTTCTTTTTCCTATGTAGATGAAAAGGCAGAGGTCCCCTGCTTCTCTTTGATGACTTTTCTCCTTTGGACATTCTAGAAGCTATAGTTCCTTCAATACATATGCTGTACTGAGTTTGAAATAGAAAAATGTGCAATTCTGGGTTAAGGACAGAAGATCAGTTCTTATCCCAGAGCTAGACAAACCATTAAAGAGGTGTCCAAATGTGCTGTGTGGAGGGCGAGCCTTCTCCTGACTGCCCCACAGTGGTGAAGAGCTTTGCATTACTGTGAACAAGAACCCACCTGGTAGAATGCTCGCTCCAAGCTGTACTGATGATGCGATGAAATATTCCAGGGCCACAGGGAAACATATGTAACAGCTGACACACACTTAACTTTTTCCTTTGCTGGTAGTAACTGTATTTGGGGACTGGGCCTCGTTTAGTTGTGGCTGTTCTTGGACTCATTATGTAGCTGAGGCTAGTCACTGCCTTCCTGAATGCTGAGCTTGTTGGCATGTGCTATAGAGCTGAGCCTATCTCTACCCTGCCCCATAGGGTAGAGATAACTGTCATTCTTTTCACAGATGAGATGAGTGGTCCAGGACCACCTAGCCAGAGGGGGACAGAGAGGGGATTTGGTCTTAGGGGTCCTCCCTGAGCCTGCTGTTGTGCTAGCCCTCTCCCACTCGGGGCCAGTTTCTCCTCAGTGGGAGTCATAGCACAGAGTGTCTTTTGCTGCTGCTCAGGTCATGTCACCAGATGTGTCTCTGTGACTTGAGTGTGTCACCTTGCCATGCAGGGAAGGCAGTGATTCTGGGAGATGCTGGAGTTGACAGCTCTTTTCTGAGGCTTTATAGCCCACTACACCATAGACCAGAAAGGAGTGGGTGAAGACTGTCTGTGGAGAGGAAGTGTGTGAGGTCAGAGATGGATCAGGGGTCTCTGGAGAGGAGACAAGGCCATCTGACTCCAAGTCTCGGTCGCCATCTAAGATGGATACGGGGTATGCAAGTAAGGAGTTGACAACAGAGACTGACGTTTGGGTAGCAGCACGTAAAATGGGGAGACATGGGGAAAGAGAAATGGAGATGAGATGTCCTTGTTGGTCCAGGCTCTGGGCACTCCTAGCTCCCTCCTGGCTGGTAGTAACAGCCTTAATCCTCTACCTCCCCATGGACTCAGCTCTTGTCCTTTCTCTGCTATTCCCTTCTAGGACTGGGAGCTGCATGTGAAAGGGAAGCTACATGCCCAGAAATGCCTGCTCTTCTCTGAAAGGTAGATACTGTCCGGAGAGTTCCATGCATGTGCTCAGAACGCTGAGAGGGGGCTGAGGTGCTAGGCTGGGCACAGGGAAACAGCAGAGAGCCAAGCAGGGAAGACATCCCTGCCATCTGGAAGCTTCCACTGAATGCAAATACATGAGCTCATACTCCTGGTGCAAATGCTAACCATAAGGCAACACTGGGAGGGGAGGGTAGAAGGTACACAGGTGCGCATGGCTCTTGGGCAGATTGTACCGCAAAGGGAGCATCTAGGTGATTCCTCACTGAGGACTACTGGAGGTGGCTGTATGAGGGAAGACACCTTCCTACCAGAACAAACCAGATTCGATCCTTTCAAGGCTCTTCAGTTTTGTGGACCTGGGGTGCAAGACAATGTCAAGTCTGATCAGCACAGAGAGAGAGAGAGAGAGAGAGAAACACAGAGAGACAGAGGGGAAAGAAGGAGGGAGGGATGGAAGGAGGGAAAGAGGGAAGGAAGGAGGGAAGGAGGGAGAGAAGGAGGGAAAGAAGAAGGGAGGGAGGAAGGGAAGGTGGGAAAGAGGAAAGGAGGGAGGGAAGAAGGAAGGGAAGGAGGGAGGGAGAGAGAGAAGAAGGAAGGAGCAGGGACCTGAGTCCCAGGTCTGATCTCTGGCTGCTGTGAAGACTTCTGTTTTGATGTTGCGTGTGTGATTGGAGCTGGTGGGGCTTAAAGGAGGAGTGACGCAGCCAGGACCTTCAGACAAGATGCTGGGTGCCTTGCTGAGAATCCATGCTGGGGTCAAGGCATACCTTAGAGATCAGTGGGAACAGACTGCCCCACGGATGCAGAACAGACAAGTACACACACATTATTGTTCACGATAGCTAAAAAGTGAAAACAAGTAGGAAGCCCGTGAACAGAGAATCAGATAAGCAAAAATGTGGGCTAGCCAAGCAATGCAACAGTACTCAGTGCTCAAAAGGAAGGAAATTCCCACATAACTTTGAGCTGTAAAATTCCACTCTGGTGACGTATCTAGAGACTAAACAGGCAGGAGTTGGTAGGGAATGAAAAGTCGGTATTTAGTTTACGGCAGTTTCAGTTCTGTAAGGTGAGGGTTCTGTGGCTGGCTGGGGGGATGGGTGTAAAGCATGGCTGTATTTTGTGCCATAGAACAACGCCTTTGAACATGGTCATAAGACAGTACATTCCACGTCATGGTATCTTACCACAATTAAAAGAATTCTTACAAAGGCATCCTTTCTCTTTATTGTGGTAAAGCTCATTAACCATCTTAAAGCTTTTAATCAAGCAGCATTTAGCACGTTCACTACCAGTCTCCCTACCACACACCCAGCCCTCACTGCCGTGACCCTGGGGGTCACCAATCTGTTCTGCTTATGGGTTTGCCTCTCATAGGCATTTCAGGTAAATGGAATCCTATGATATATGGCCTTTCATGCCTGGCTTTCTAAACTTGGCATATTTAGGAGGCTCACCTACCTCGCAGTACATAAATGATTCTCACTTTCTTATATATTCAGAAGCACATGCAGCACATCCCCTCACCTCTTGATGGGCCATGGTGACGATGGCTGCTATGAGCAGCCTCACGTGGGTTTTCATTTGAGCAGATGTTTTTCATCTTATGGGCATTTTATATGTAGGAGCAGAATTTGGGTGGTCATATAGTCATTTTTCATTTGACTTTTTGCAGAAACAGATTCTCTCTCTCTCTTTCTGCTCTAGTGCTGGCCTCCGCTGTATCCTGGCTTCGGCAGAGGGGACACTGTGCACCTCCCCAAACAGTGCAGCTGTTTACAGCGCCCCTGGGAGCGAGGGTGAGTGGAAGAGGCCCTCAGACGGCAGCTTGCAGCACAAGCAGCAGTCTGAGGATTATAGCCACCTCTGAGGTCCAGTTCTTTCCTGCTCAGGCTTCCCGAGTGTGTACAAAAAGGCAGATCCTGAGTGTTGACACTGTTCTCTGGGATGTGTCGGGCCCTGCACTGAGCCAGCTACAGCAAGCATGGAGTTGTAACCACTTCAGCCAAACAATAGAAAGTGACAGTGTTCTCTTCGCATACATTTCTGAGTGGTGTGTGCGTATGTATGGGATTCGTAACCTACAGCTCGTGGCTTGAGTCAGGCTGGCTAGTCAGGGAGCCTCAGAGATACTCTTGTCTCTGCACACCCCCCTCCCCCAACACACACACACTGGAATTGTAAGCAAGTGCTACCACACCTGCTATTTCAGGTGAGGACTAGGGACCAATCAAGCTGTCTCCCCAATCATGAATTTTGAAGGTCAAGTTTGTGACTAGGTTACTGTCTGTCTGTCTGTCTGTCTGTCTATCATTAACTTGGTGCCATTCATCATTCAGATTACGCCTCAAATCTTGGAACACCATATGCAGCCATTCCAACAAGGGCCTTTGCTCAATCAAACCCCACGTTTCCCTCAGCTTCCACTGCGGCAAATGTGAGTACGAAAGCTTTTTCTCCACTTCTCTCATCATCCTCAAGGTGTTCACATCATCTGTCATGTTTAGCCAGAGGGATGCAGAGAAGGTTGGGATGAAGCTGCGTCTTTGTGTAATTCAAACAGTGTCCCTAGCCAGAGGCCAGGGGCTGTGCCATCCACCCGTGAGTGTTGAAGCAGAAGATGCTGCCCTGTGTTCTTTGCTGTTGTCTGTGTGCTGAGGCAGGGCTCACTGTGTGCCTTGCCTGGTACTTACTATTGTAGTCCAAGCTGGTCTCAAACTCACAGCAATTCTGCCGGAACCCCCCCTCCCGCCCCAATGCAGGGGTTATAGCCTGAGCTCCAGTGCTGAGCTTTCTGCCGTAAGTTCCCAAAATCAAAGATACGTGCTGACTAGCATTTCACAGTGATTGAGGGGGAAAGCTACATGCTTCATGTTTTAAAAGTTTTTAATAAAAAAACAAAACAAAACTATTTCTCTGTATGGTGGTACACATCTTTAGTCCTAGTATTTGGGAGCCTAAAGAGGGCCTGCCCTATGAGTTCAAAGCCAGCCTGTCCTACACAGCGAGCTCCAGCCAGCCAAGGTCACAAAGTGAAACCCTGTCTTAGCACCCCCCCATCATTTGTCTGTAAGTATGTGTCTGTAACAGTGTATGGCATGAGTGCAAATGCCCACAGAGGCCAGCAGGAGGCATCAGATCTCCCAGGGCTGAAGTGACAGGCGGTTGTGAGTGATCTGATATCAGTGCTAGTAAACAAACTCGGGTCCTCTGGAAGAGCATGAAGTGCTTTTAACCACTGTTTAATGTAATTGTGTGTGTGTGTGTGTGTGTGTGTGTG